GTTCGGACCAGGTGGGGGTAGGTACCCATCAGAGCCCTGCAGAACGGGGTTCGGACCGGGTGGGGGTAGGTACCCATCAGAGCCTTGCAGAACGAGGTTTGGACCGGGTGGGGGTAGGTACCCATCAGAGCCATGCAGAACGAGGTTCGGACCAGGTGGGGGTAGGTACCCATCAGAGCCCTGCAGAACGGGGTTCGGACCAGGTGGGGGTAGGTACCCATCAGAGCCCTGCAGAACGGGGTTCGGACCGGGTGAGGGTAGGTACCCATCAGAACCTTGTAGAACGAGGTTCGGACCAGGTGGGGGTAGGTACCCATCAGAGCCCTGTAGAACGGGGTTCGGACCGGGTGGGGGTAAGTACCCATCAGAGCCTTGCAGAACGAGGTTCGGACCAGGTGGGGGTAGGTACCCATCAGAGCCCTGCAAAACGGGGTTCGGACTAGGTGGGGGTAGGTACCCATCAGAGCCTTGCAGAACGAGGTTCGGACCAGGTGCGGGTAGGTACCCATCAGAGCCCTGCAGAACGGGGTTCAGACCGGGTGGGGGTAGGTACCCATCAGAGCCTTGCATAACGAGGTTCGGACCAGGTGGGGGTAGGTACCCATCAGATCCCTACAGAATGGGGTTCGGACCGGGTGGGGGTAGGTACCCATCAGAGCCCTGCAGAACGGGGTTCGTACCAGGTGGGGGTAAGTACCCACCAGAACCTTATAAAATAAGGTTTGTATCGGATGAGGGTAGGTACTCATCAGAATCTAGCAAAAACGCAGATTCGTACCAGGTGGGGGTAAGTACCCACCAGAACCTTATAAAATAAGGTTTGTACCAGATGAGGATAGGTACTCATCAAAATCTAGCAAAAATGCAGATTCGTACTGGGTGGGGGTAGGTACCCACCAGAACCTTATAAAATAAGGTTTGTACCGGATGAGGGTAGGTACTCATCAAAAACCTAGCAAAATGCATCAGGTAGAGTAAAATACTCACCAGAGCATTACAAAAAACGGGTTGCAAATACCTTGCTTCTATTAGAGGATAGTTCAAGTGTTAGGCACCTCGGAAGTAAGTACCCAAAAGAGTTTAGCAAAATGCGAACTCATACCAGATGAGGGTAGGTACTCATCAGAATCTAGAAAAGAGCATATTCATACCAAGTGGGGGTAGGTACCCACAAAAGTCTAGTAAAATACAGACTTATACCTGGTGAGGGTAAGTACTCACCAGAGCCTTATAAAAGAAGGCTCAAACCAGATAGGGGTTGGTACCTATCAAAAATATTTATAATCCGGAGGATCAGCAAAGGAGCAGCATCTGAAGGATAACCGGGAAAAAAGGGTTAACTCCTTCCCCTACCGACTAATCTTGTCGGCATATTAAACCAACAAATTAGTTAGGTAGGTGAAGGGGGGGCAGCTGTAGACCCCTAATTTTGCTCGGCCTCTCAATAAAGGCTAGGGAAACTTCACATAACAAGATGAAGTTCACCCGGCTTCTCAATAAAAACCAAGGAGACCTCCTACAACAACACGGAGTTCATACGACCTCTCGATAAAGGCTAAGGAGACCTCCTATAACGAAGATAAAGTTCGTCTGACATCTCAATAAGGGCCAAGAAGACTTCCTATATGAAGATAAAGCTTCAACGGACATCTATCGGCATCAACCAATGTCCGAAAATAGCAAGGAAAGCTTCCCAGGGTCCCAAAACACAAAAACTGGACAAAACAGGTGGAGACAACCGTCCCAAAGTTGGGACAGCCGTCCCAAACTTCCTAGGACAAGTGAGACGCACGTCCCAAATGTGGGACGGCCGTCCCAAGTCCCCATTGGTTGTCTCAATGCAAAAAATTCAGTTGGGATGGCCGTCCCAACCCAGACGGCTGTCCCAACCCAGATGGCCGTCCCAAATGTGCCAGGCAGCGAAAACTATAAATAGGAGGCTCATTTGCTCATTTTCCACACTCCAGACAACTCCAAGACTTGTCTTCTTCTCTCCCTACTTCGAATTATCTTTCTGATTGCCTTAAATATGTAACAATCAGTTAAGGAATTACATTCCGGCATTCGATTCTTCTATAAAAATATTAGTCGAGTCGATATTGTAGTCGAGAGGAGAGTATTTGTAGAGCGAAGGATTGCCACAAAGCGTCCTCTTTATAAAAGAGTTGTAATACAAAGCCTGCTACAGAGGTTTTTTCCAATTCTCTTCTCTTTTATTGCTTTAATTATTGCTTTATGTATGCAATTTAAAATAATATCATGTAGATAGCCATTTTTAAGATTGTACGAATAAAATAGGGTAATAGCGTAATTTCTCGTAATCTTCACTTAAATGAATTAATCCGTCATAGGGAACCCGAAAGGGGCGTTGTGGGGTGCTAACACCTTCCCCACACGTAACTAACTCCCTTACCCAACTCTGGTTATAATGGCCAAGTTGGTTTTTATCAAAATCAACGCCTTTTATCCTTTTCCAATGTTTATGGTCAAAACATTGGTGGCGACTCCTTAAGAACCCCTTTTCGAAAACCTTGCTTCTATTAGAGGATAGTTCAAGTATTGAGCACCTCGGAAGCAATGAACATATTTTTAACAAAAACGCGAGTCTAAACCATCTTTTCGTGACCGCTCGCATAAATGTTCGAGATGTCCCTAGACGTCAGAACGGACGGCGGCGACAGTTGTGAGGGTCAAGAGAAGAGAAGTAAGAGGGCAAATTCAGTGGCTTGTGTTTTAGAAGGTTAGTTTTTATTTAGAAAAGATTTTGTAAGAATGGTTGGCTAGGGTTTGGCCTGGATGTTTAAGCTTTTGTCTAAGCAAACGTTTTTCCCTTTTTGTTTGTATTTGCGCCTTAGCTTATTTCCATTGCTTTTTATGGCTAGTTGATCTCCCTAGATCGCCCTTTGGGTTTTCAAACTAGGATATTGTGTTTTGGCCCTAACTTTTGTCTAGGTTCCTTCTTTTTATTTTTGGTTAGAGAATCCTAGCGGACCTTATTTTGTAACCCTAACTTTTGCCTAGGCTACCCTTTATTTTTGTTTGGGTATCCTACCGGGTCGACCCTATCTTTTGCGTAGCCCCCTTGGTGGGTTTCCTACCGGGTATTTTGCCCTTTTTTTTTTGGCCTTTGGCTTTTATGGGCTTTTTCTTTTTTGTTATTATTATATTTTTTTCACAATATTGGCGAAACATGACTTTCTTTATGGTGAGGTAAAGCCTTGTTTTGTGCTTCTAATCAACTAGCTTGATTGTAATGGCAATGGTGAATTTATTTGGATGCGTTTTTTATTCTTTTTTTTTTTTGCTTACTTAGACAAGGTTATTATGAGGTCTAGTTATGAAATAGCAAGAAGAGAAGCAGATAGTAAGAAATGTATTCTTTATTAATTAATAAGGGAATATGTGCCCTAAAATGTCCGGGGGTCGGGCTAGCCTCGGGGGATAATATCTAACAGTCATTGGGTTTACATCCCTTAAATGAAGAAAAAGATCTCCTAATGACTAGGGTAGCTCTTGACTCTTGCACCCCTCCGCTTCGGAAAATTTGCTTGAGCGTGCGGAGGGGAGACTTCCCTTTTCCTCTTTCTGTTCGACCCTTAGTAGGGTCATATCCTAGGCCATGCTTGTAAGGATTATCTTTGAATTCTGGGGGTTCCCTCATCCCTTGGGAATCTGCCCCTAGTCCTTGGCCAGGATGGTAACCATGCTTCAACATCATGCGGGCTACCTTTGTGTTTTTGGGAAGTCGCTCTATGTTGGCAATTTCGAGCGCTTGAAAAGATGTTTCAAGGGCCTCTTCAGCCGCATCCACATAAGGTTGGGTGGACGGTCCACTGATCAAAATATCATCTTCTGCTTGGACCGTGACCAATTTGTCATCCACTATGAACTTGACTTTTTGGTGGAGCGTTGAAGGTACTGCCTTAGCGCCATGAATCCAAGGCCTACCGAGGAGACAACTGTATGCTGGAGTAATATCCATTACATGGAAATTGACGTTGAAGATAGTGGGTCCAACTTGAATTGGCAAATTAACTTCTCCCACTACTTCTCGTTTTGATCCGTCGAAGGCTCGAACGATAGTGCTGCTTGGGCGCAGACGGGTTCCTTGGATAGTCAACTTGTTTAGTGTGCACTTGGGCATCACGTTCAAGGATGACCCGTTATCCACAAGAACTTTGGCGATGAGGTACTCCTTGCACTTGATTGAAATGTGCAAGGGCTTGTTGTGGTTTAACCCCTCGAGGGGAAGTTCTTCCTCTGTGAAGGTGAGGTGATCGCTTGCCATAATGTGATCGACGATCCTCTCAACTTTTTCTTGGGATATGGTGTGAGGTACATGCGCTTTGCTCAAGACCTTCAGCAGGGCATTTCTATGCGGTTCCGAGCTCATCATTAGAGATAACAGTGTTATCTTTGCAGGTGTATGATTGAGCTGATCAATAATGGAATACTCGCTTTGCCTTACAAACTGGAGTAATTCCTCTGTCTCCTCCTTGGATTCTTTATTTTCTTTTTCTTCGGTCTTTTTATTTTTTCCTTTATTCTTGGGGATATCTTCTTGTGAGTCCTTGGGGGAGTAGACTCTTCCACTTCTAGTCATGCCCCAAATTCCGGCTATATTCGTGACATCATCCCTTATTGGTGAAGATTCCCCATATCTCCATGGTACAGCCTTATTTGATTCGTAGGGGAAAGGATGTGGCATAAATAGTCGCACTGGTGTCCTCGCCCCCTCTTCCTTATTTTTGAGGACCAACGGTCGAGGCTTATTGTCCTCTTGTGGCGAGTCAACCGTTGGGGAAAGCTTTATTAAAAATGGCTTCCTCTCCATTCTTCTGATTTGGAAGACGTGTCAGTTAATCCTTCCTTTTTATTATCTTATTTATTAAGAATGAAGGAGGGGAAATTAAATATGCAAATGAATGATGTGCATGCAAGTAGACAATTGTTGAATAAAGAAAAAAATTTCATTCATTCGTTGGAAGGTGTACATTCCCCTACTCCATACTACGAAGCAACTTTTGGCAGAAACAGAAAAGCCTAAAGAATTCCACAGGCGGATCTTGATCTCTATGTAATTCTCTTTCGGCTTCCCAGACATGACGAGCAAGTGCTTCACTTTGCTTCTGGACCGCCTGGCTCATATCTTCACTGTACTTTTGAGCCTCTTTGATCTTCGCCTCTTGATGGACGACCAAGGCTTGCAGTTCATCGAGCTTTGCAAGGGCTCGGTCTTTCTCTTGTAGTACTTGGTCGTACTGAGCTAGCCCGTCTCTTTCTTTGCAGTGTAACTTAGCAAGACTTTTGTTGAGTCTCCGATTGGCCTCTCGCTCTTGGCGTATTTCTAACCGAGCCTTGGTGAGATCTTGCAACAAGTCCTTGATCGTAAGAGCCTGTTTTGCTGATTCGGCCTCAAGGCGTGCTGTTTTGGCGATTATTTCTTGAAGTTGGCTATCCGAGCTGGTTCTGGCAGCTTTGGATGCTCGGATAGCTTGCTCATTAGAGTCAGCACATTGATCCTTGAGGCGCTCTATTTCATGATCCTTTTTCTTGCATTGCCTTTGCAGACCGTCTATGGCAAGGATAGATTCTTGTTCCTTTTCTTCAAGGGCCCTCATCTGGGCTCCCATGATTTCTATCCTCTGGGTCAAGGTGTCGACTTGAGCTTGCAACTCTTCATTATTGGCGCACGTAATGAGTGAGGTGGATGGTGGAGACATCCCTCTTCTTTTTCTCCACACCTCATAGTCACCGGAGACGGCCACTCGAGCTTTTCCTAGCTCTCTGTCTCCCATAAAGACTGGTTTCTCCCATGCTCTTCTCACGGCTAGTGAGTTGGCGACGGTGCATGGGTCTCTGAAGAAACACAGTCCTCCGAGCTCCCCTCGGGATATCGTAGTTTGAGTCCTCATGAGTTGTCTCATAGCTACTCTAGGTGAGTAGGCTATGCAACCCCTGAGTCCTATCAAGGGTACGTTCGGATATTCCCCACATCTGATGAGGACTGGACCGGGTCGGAACCAAGGGCAGACCCAGGATAGATGGTTGGCCTCCCATTGTTCCAACTCGTCCTTCCACTCTGAAGTTAGGCATCGGTGGAGAGGGATTTTGGAGAAGCTCCTCAAAGGGTCAGGGAACATCCCCACGTGACTAGAGGCGTAAAAATACGTAATGCCCCACACAAAGAGTAGTGAAGAGCAACAACGAAGTGTTTTTCCTTGATTTTGGCGGCAAAATTCCACTGAAAGCAAGGTGTCGGCAAGAATTGCAGGCAAGGGACTCTTCGAGTTCACGTCCCAGGCGAAGAAGGCGTCCATGACGGCTTGGTCCACTGTGTCGATGTGGAAGGGAAACAAGATCGTTCCAAAAATGATTAAGGCCAGGGTTTTGTTAAAAGCGACCCACTCTGCCCTTTCAGCCAAGTCGGACAGGTGGTCTTCTAACATTGAGACTTTCCAACCCTGGATGTTCCCTTTTCCTATCAGGGTAGTCTGTCGGAATGGTAGTTGAATGATGGCAGCGACTTGTGCTGCAGGAGTATATGCCCCGTGGCGGATATGGACCCCGGCTGATTTGGGCCATCTCAACATTATCTCATACTCCTCCAAGGTGGGCACCATGTCGAATTGTGGAAATTCGAAGCAACGCAGACTAGGGTTCCAGAAATGAACTAGTACCCTGATGAAAATTGGATCGACACAGATCTTCAGCAGGTCGAGAATCCGTCCATAGGATTTTTCGAAGTCGAAGCGGACCTCCGATGGCATTATCGCACAAAGCCGTTCCAGCTTCTCAGTATGGTATCGGGGAACATCCACCTTCTTCAATTGTCTACTAGTCCCCTCCATTTTCTAAAACCAAAATGCATTCTTTATGAATATGATGCTTATGTTAGTGTTTATTTTTCCTATTTTATCATGTTTTATTTCTACATGATGTATGGTATTTCTGTATATTTTATTTTTTGAAAATATAAATTATCTATATGAATGATTTATGAGTGTAATGTTTATGAACAAGGTCCCATTTATTGTTTTAAATTGGGTTTTTATTTTTATTTTTATTATTTTTATTTTATAGCCTTTTATCTCTTCTGTCGGACTGCGTGGCTACTTAGCTTGCAAAGAACCTGAAACCAGGCTAGCTAAAAGACAGATTGTCCGAGATAAAAAATGGCTTTATGTGAAAGAATATTTAACGTCCCTTATCTCTTCTGTCGGACAACGTGGCTACTTAGCTTACAAAGAACCTGAAACCAGGCTAGCTAAAAGGCAGACTGTCCAAGATAAGGGTGTTTATTGCGAAAATATTTTTTGTGATTTTTCTGTTGTTTGGTTATGCTATGCAATAAACAAATGCAACAAACAAATGCACACACAATTCGATCATCCGCGAACATGCGAGAAGTCGTTTTAATCACGAGGTAGGGTTTTCCTACAGAAAAGTGCATTAGCGAGGGTAGGTTCTAACTGTTCTCACCAAGGCTAAGGCCCCCAAGGTGCCCCCATTATAGGGTCCCCACTCTCCAGCCTTCCGACCATGCTTAGCACTAAGGCCATAGTCAGTCTTTGTGCCAAAAGAGGAAGGTTATCACCTTGAGTGGTGGTTTTCGATCACACCGGTGGGCTCAAGGCCATCACTACAACGAATCGTACCTGCCACCCACTCCCTATGGATTTCTCACTTGCCCCCGGGTATAGAGGGAACTGTTGTGTGCAAGGGTTTGTGTACAGTTTGTATTTCAAACAATTGCGTAAGAATAAACAAACAACAGTTATTAAAACCAAACATTAAACATGTTATCATACAAGGTTGGGTAAAAGCGTTATTTCTTGGTTTATTTATTTAAGCTGGCCCATCACTAAATGGGATCAACTCTCTAGGCTTCCCCAGCGGAGTCGCCATCTGTTGCTGCCGTCAAAACGAGGCAGTCGAAGCGACGCGATGGTTCCGACTTTCCGACTTTCGCGTTTTTTATTGGTGTGGTTACAACGCCTTTAGGTTGTCCGATAACTGGGCTGAACCTAGGGACGAGGTTTTTGAACGAGTGTTCTTGGATTGTCCGATAACTAGGCTAACCCAAGAACTAATTTTGAAGGGCTCTTCTGGAGTCGACACCGATGTTTTTACCGGAAACATCGGAAAAAGAGTGAAAAGGCGTTGGTTTTCGAAAAACCAACTTTGGTCATTAGAACCAGAGTTGGGTAAGGGAGTTAGTTACGTGTAAGGGAAGTGTTAGTTCCCTTACGACGCCCCTTTCGGGTTCCCTATGACAGGCTAGCTATTTAAATAATTAAACCGGTGAAAATACGCTTTTACCCTTTTATTTGCGGAATTTAAATTATGACTACATGCCCCTAATGTCTATTGCATAATTAAAAATAAAGCAGTAAAAGGTAGAGAGAGAAAGTAGAAACCTCTGAGGCAAGCTTTCTATTAATTTCTTTGAAAGTTAGGGTGCTTTTTGGCAGCCCTTCACTCTTTACAGTGCCGAAAAACTCTCAAAAACGCTATAAAAAATTTTAGAAACTCTTAGAAAACTCCGAAAATGCTTCGGAGGGGGTCTAGGAAGAGAATTTGATGAAGTGACTAGAGAGAGAATGAGAGAACTGTGTGAAATGAGGGGAATGGTGCGGCTATTTATAGGGATTCACACCTGTCAGGTCGAGACGGCGGTCTCGCCACTTGCGCAAAGCGAGACGGCGGTCCCGAATACGAGACGACGGTCTCGACCCAAAAAGGCGAGAATCCTTATTTACATGCAAAAAATCCCTCCTATTCTAATACGGGGCCTAATAGTCTCTCCTAATGGCTTCTTAGGCTTCATCCATCTTAAAAAAGGAGGTCTTCTGATCTTTATTATGAGGCCGGGCAAGATTAGGGGTCTACAGTGGCCATTGACTATTTTACTAAATGGGTAGAGGCGGCATCCTACGCGCATGTAACCAAGAAGGTGGTCTCCGCCTTCATCAAGAAGAATATCCTATGTCGATATGGGATCCCTCATCGGCTCATTACCGATAATGGAACCAATCTAAACAACAAGATGATGGAGGAATTATGCCAAAACTTCAAGATTCAACATCACAATTCCTCCCCATACCGACCCAAGATGAACAATGCGGTGGAAGCAACCAACAAGAACATCAAGAGGATTGTAGACCCCAAATCTTGCCCGACCTCAAAATAAAGTCAGAAGACCTCCTTTTCAAAGATGGATGAAGCCTAAATAGCCACTAGGAGAGACTATTAGGCCCCCATACTAGGATAGGAAGGTTTTTCGGCAAAAAAAATAAGGTTTTGTTAGAAAAGTAGTTTTAGAACCAAATTCCAGTTCTTGCACTCAACCTTTCACCAAGAACCAAATTCCAGTTCTTGATAACCTCTACAACCCAATTCCAGCTGCAGAGAAACTAGTGCCCAAATTCCAGGCACCACACAGTATAAAAGAATGTAATGAAATGAAAAAGAAGAAACTAGAAAGCTCAAACCAGTTTATGCAATTCTGCTGTAAGTGTTTCTTCTTCACAAGAAAGCAAGTTGCCTCAAGAAAGATTTTTAAAGAATTACTTCAAAAACTGACGCGAATCTTTCTTGAAAAGAGTGCTAAAGTTTGCTTGAATGATTGCTTAAGGATGTGTAAAAACTGATATGTAAAAAGTTTAAGCAACTCTGTTTTTATAGAAGATTTTCAAATCTGCTGTATTAATTAATCTGTTAAAAGATTCTTTTAATATGTTAAAAGTGCAGTTTTAATCCGTTAAAACTTCTTTTAATCCATTAATACGTTCTTGATTCTTTAACATATTTGTTTTAACTGATACGACAACATTTATATCAATTAAAACACTTTACAAAAAATCTTCTAAGTTGATTTAATCGATTGTTTCGCGATTCAATCGATTGAAATACTGCAAAACTTTCTTATAAAACTTTCCAAGTTATTTTAACTGATAAAAATAAGTTTTAATCGATTAAAACGATGTGTAGAAAATTTCTAAGTTGTTTTAATCGATTGAAACGAGATTTAATCGATTAAAAGAGTTCTGATCGGTCATAACTAAATTCTGATCGATCATAACTGATTTTGATCAGTCATAATTGTATTCTGATCGATCATCCTGAACCCTTAAGTGGTTTTAATCGATTGAAACGTGTTTTAATCGATTAAAAGAGTTCTGATCGGTCATAATTCAATTCTGATCGATCACATCGGATTCTGATCGGTTATAATCGTATTCTGATCGATCATAATGAGTTCTAAATGGATTTAATCGATTAAAATCAAGTTGTATCGATTAAAATACTGTAAAAACATTTCACTTAACATTTTAAGTAATTTTAATCGGTTATATCAAAGTTGTATCAGTTAAAAACATGTTTAAGAAAGCTTTTGTCAAAATACTTTGTTTTTAATTGTTTAAAACGATTTTAGAGGCATTTCGCAAAATCTTTTAAGTGAAGAAACCTCATGCAGCAGAAAAGATAAAATGATTTTACCTAAGCATTTTGTAGACACACTAATCCTTCTACTCTTTTATCTAAGTGACTTGTTGACCGCTGCAAAGTTGACTTTTGACTTCATCAAATCAATGAGATCTTTGCCAAAGTATTTCAATTAGATCTTCATCACTTTCAGTCTCCCCCTATTTGATGAAGACAAACACCATTTTGAAAAAAAAAACTCTGCAAAAGAAGTCACTTGATAATACAGATTAGTGAAAAATCAAAAATGAATTATTTTCCTATTTCTCCCCCTAAATTGTTGCTCCCCCTAAACTTAAGAGTTATTTCTCTAAATTGACCAAAAAAGTAAAGCAACTATTTCTCCCCCTTTTGACTTCATCAAAAATAGGGAACAGAAGAGAAACAAAACATAGGTATGTATTAAAAAGATTTTGAAAATAGAAAA